AGAATCACTACACAGCTGAAAGCGACAAGCCAAAGTTTGTGCGACCAAAGCCTTATGATAGGGCAAGCAACACTTTTTCAAGACGTCCTTTTTTAGGACAGGGCCGGGCGTCAACTCAGGGGAACCTTACAAGACGAAATCACACTGCTCCCAATCGGAAGGGACAGTAACAAACCAGGTGGGTGACAAAAATTCACACAAACAAATTTGCATTCTCGATTTTGCTGAAAAGGCAAAAAATTTTAAGACTGGTTGCCTGCAATATTATGCTACTAAGTGGGAATCATTAACTAGTGATCCTGCTATTCTTGATGCTATAAAGCATTATCATATTGAATTTACTGCAGGCTACCCTGTACAGACCAAGCTCACTAGACCTAAACAAATAACATTTGCAATCTCAGAGAAAGAAATTATTGATGCTGAGATAGATAAACTTTGCAAAAAAGGAGTGATTGAAACACTTCTAGTGAACCCAGTGAGTTTCTTTCCACAGTTTTTGTGAGGCCAAAAAAGGATGGAACTCACAGAATGATATTAAATCTGAAACAACTTAATGAATATGTGGCATACCACTATTTTAAAATGGACACAATTCAGACAGCCTTAAAACTCATGCGGCCAGACTGCTTTATGGCATCTGTGGATCTTAAGGATGCTTACTACTCAGTCCCAGTGGCCAAAGAGGATAGAAAATTTCTAAAGTCCAATGGGGAGATAGTTATTTTCAATTTACATGTTTGCCTAATGGCTTAGCATGTGCTCCAAGATTGTTTACTAAATTATTTAAACCAGTTTATACTCATATTCGATCCATGGGCCATACTTGTATGGGCCATATTGATGATTCACTTCTTGTTGGCTATGATTACACAGCTTGCAAGAAAATGTTCATGACACTGTGGACACTTTTTGTAGCTTGGGTTTTATTATACACCCAGATAAATCAAGCTTTGAACCAAAACAGGAAATAGAATTTCTTGGGTTTTTACTAAATAGTGTTCTCATGACCATTAGGCATCTAAAGCCAGTTAGGTAAAGACGACTTGTGTAGAGTTACAGAAGCAGACACAAGTAACCATCAGGGGGCTGGCCCATGTTATTGGCCTTTTAGTTTCAAGCTTACCCGGGGTACAATTTGGGGAACTACATTACCGACAGTTGGAAATCAATAAAACTGCAGCTTTGCAGAGAAATAAAGGAAATTATGATGCTATCATGCACTTAACAAAAGACTCCAGGTCTGAGTTGACTTGGTGGATACAGAATATAGAAACATCATATAAAAATATCACTGTATCCAACCCTGATATCACCCTAACAACTGATGCGTCTACCAAAGGTTGGGGGGCTGTGTTAGGCGAGCGTAAAACTGGGGGTCTTTGGGACAAGAACGAACAGGAATTTCACATTAACTATTTAGAGCTGAAAGCAGTTTTGCTCGGGTTACAATCGTTATGCTGTGATTTTAAACGAAAGCATATAAGAATACTCTCTGATAACACAACTACAGTCTCCTATATTAATGCTATGGGCGGCATCAAATCTCCAGTTTGTAATGAAATGGCTCACCTGATTTGGGATTGGTGTACCAAGAGAGATATCTGGTTAAGTGCTTGCCACATTCCAGGGGTTCAGAATAGTGAAGCTGACACTGAATCTAGGAAATTTAATGAGTCCACAGAATGGTCTCTTGACTCTAAGGTGTTGAATAATATACATGCACTTTGGGGCCCATTTGAAATTGACTTGTTTGCATCTAGACTAAATTTTAAAGTGGCTAAATATGCTTCTTGGAAGCCAGACCCAGGGGCTTCGTTTATTAATGCCCTCTTAATAGATTGGCATCTTCACTATTTTTATGCTTTTCCCCCCTTTAGCCTTATTCCAACATGCTTGCAGAAAATCGAACAGGACAAAGCCTCGGGTGTTCTTTTAGTTCCAGTTTGGAAAACGCAACCGTGGTTCACTATTCTTCTTCGTTTATTGGTCGACAAGCCTCGACTCCTTCCTCAGTCCAATGCGCTGTTGGTACAAACTCACAACAATGCCCTTCACCCGCTGAGAAATCAGATGCGATTGATGGCGTGCAAAGTCTCAGGAAGACCGTCCAGCAGAGAGGCATTTCAGGGAAAGCTGCAGAGATCATTTTGCGATCCTGGTCTGAGGGAACACACAAGCAGTATGAGCCATACCTCAAGAAATGGACAAAGTTTTGTGATCAACGAGAAATTAATCCCTTTAATCCCCTGTGACATTAGTGCTGGACTTTCTAACTGAACTGCATGAACAGGGCTTGGCGTATACGACGTTAAACACTGCCAGAAGTGCTATATCAGCATTTACCATACCTAAAGACAACTCCAGCATAGGGAGTCATCCTATTGTCACAAGATTTATGAAAGGAGTATATAAAAGTACCCCGCCCACGCCTCGCTAGAAAACAACATGGGATGTTCAAGTGGTTCTGACATACCTATCTTCGTTTCCCATCATCTCAGAACTACCAATGAAACAATTGACACTTAAGACTATCATGTTGGTAGCGTTGGTTACTGCGCAACGAGGACAGAGCCTCCACATGCTTGATATAGAATTTATGGCTGAGTTTCCTGATCGTTTGGAATTTACTCTTCCGGAGCACGTAAAACAAAGTCGTCCGGGGTACGAACCACCATCTACTACGCTGAGAGCTTATCCAGCAGATCAAAGTCTTTGTGTTTTTGCACACATGAAAGAATATTTAACGAGAACAAAGGCTTTACGGGGCTCTGAAATGAGGGTGTTAATTACACTCGTAAAACCACACAAACATGTTTCTAGAGATACAATTTCACGATGGATCCGGTCTGTTATGAAAGATGCTGGTATAGATGTTGCACAATTTAAACCACACAGCACAAGAGCAGCTTCTACGTCAAAGGCAAAAGCTGCAGCTGTCCCTATTCAAGAGATCCTTAAAATAGCAGGATGGTCTTCGTCTCGGTGTTTCGATAGATACTATAACAAACCAGTTCAAACGAACAGTTTTACTGAGGCTGTTCTGTCGACTATGTAAGGCATAAACTGGGGTTTTTTGGACAGTGTTTGTATGAGAACATTGTTAGTACTTTGTTTGCCAGGAAACCTGGTAATTCTGTTGGCAAAAAGTTTCAATTACACATTTAGTTTGGTGGGCTTCATATGGTACCACTCGTGTAAGTGTCTGTCTTTAAAATCTCATGGAATCCCTGCTGCTGTGACAGACGAGATAGAATTGGAAAATTAAATGAGACTTACCTGTAAGTTGAAGTTTGATTGGAATTCTATCGAGTCTGGAGCAGCAGCAAGGGATTACATGCCCACCCAATGTTAACTTATTGATGCGATCATAAGTCCCATTACCCGCCCAGGGTTGCAAATACTCAGAATGTGTCCAAGAAAATAATACTGGTATTGTGCACACATTGAGACACTCACACTCAGCTGTCAATACTGGTTGTGAGCATGCGTTTGGCAATCTCATGTAATCCCTTGCTGCTGCTCCAGACTCGATAGAATTCCAATCAAACTTCAACTTACAGGTAAGTCTCGTTTAATTTTCCAATTTCACGTCCTCCTCCTCATGAAATTCACAGACTGGGATCAAACCACATGACCTTGCCAACGAAATTTGTTCTGAAAAGCAGATGACAAGACTCTACACTTTTGCCTCATGTTTTCCAGAGTTAACCTCTTCCTTTTTTGATCCACTGTTAGAGCGACATCATCTAGAGAGTCATGATTATGGTGCATCAACTGATGTAAATAATATGCGTAAGTTCAGAAATGTTTATCTGGTTGACTTTTTTATGCATTCTCTTAAATCTAAACAAGATTTTATGGAAGCATTGGAGAGAGTTTTAAAGGTAGAAAAATTAAAGGAATATTTAAATAAATTTGTTGTAGTTTTTCCAGGTGACCATCCAAGCCAATTTTTTCCTTGACAAATAGTGCATGAGATTCTCAGCAAGTATGTTGCCAACCTTCAATCAAATACACCTGTTCCTCAAGAAGAGCTTCTTTCCCTTATTCCTCTTATTGGACCATTACACATTGACCTAAATGCAGATGAAGACTTAGTAATTAATTATCATCCTTTTATTAAATCTTTGTATTAGTCACTTTTTCCAAATAGAGTATTAGCTGCAAAACCAAAGCCTTGGAGAATTCAGTTCATTCTTGAAATTATTTATGGTGGATGGACACTTATCAGGAGAAGTGTTAAAGCTGTTTTTCACAACTGCAAAGATGTACAGTATGGCACACTTTTAAATTTCTTGGATAATTATTGTCCTACAGTTTTATGTTCATACTCAATTTTGTTTAAAACTAACGACTTTTATAACTATTATGAATCCATTCTTCGCATGTGGGTGATGATGTACTGTTTCAGACGCCATATTACAGGAAATCACTTCTAATTTGGCTCTTTTTAGTCAAATACTGGGAAAAGAATGAGTTTTGTACTGACATATTAAATCTTTTGTAGAATCAGTTGTAGAATTTGTGCACTCAGTTGTAAGAAGGCACACAGCTGATGGAGCAAGTGACAAAGCTCTATCAGAAACACTGAAAGCCATCTTTGGATGTGGAGCATGTCAAGAGAATTTTCGCTCAACATTTACACCTGCAAGAAATTATGTGTTCAGCCGTGTTCAACTAAAGTATTTACATACAAGAGTTGCTAAACTTTTAGTTTCTTTTTTTTCTAAAATCTCTTTAAATCCAGGTGAAGCACACCCTTTGCCAAGATCTAGGGGTCAAGCACTAGATTGTACTGTGTACAACCTTCCAAGTCTTTTTGATGAGAAACTGGTAAAAAGTTACTTCTTACCTCTTGGGTATCAGAGTGAAAAGAGGCCAGATGAAAACAGCCAATGTGATTATTTATGTGTTGCTTCAGAAGGTGCTGACTGGAAGATCTTTGAAGGCTGTTGGCATTCCTTCCACAACGAGTGTTGACATTTTGCCCTATGTTCTAATCATTTAAATAATGTTATTTTGTCTTTGTCAGAGTCAGCTAACTTTTCTTTTGTTAATGGGGGAAATTAAACTGCAGATGATGATCAAACATCAGATCCAGAGTCAGATGATGACAGTGATAATGAAATGGAAAGCGACAATCTTGGAATTCCTTCAAACGAGTCAAATTATGAACATATTTTAAATGAAATTAACTTATCTGTGATGCAATTAAGGCCTCAGTCACCAACTAATACATCTTCATGTTTTTCTGATGATAATTTAGATTCTGATGATACAACATTTAATCTACTGGCTAGCGTTCAACCTCCTAAGCGATCACCACATTGTTCAACATGCCAACACACTAAAACTGGTCATGGTATCAGATCTTCAACAACACCCTATGCTAAATGTACTATGTGCCCAAATAATATATGCTCACCAGCAGGACGCCATAAACCATGCACATGCCTTTGGCACATATATGAGCAAAACTCTATTCACCCTGAATTATTTCCTTACTCTATAGTTAGATCAACTACTATTAATCATGTTAACGAGTATCTTTTGTCTTTTTGTCAATCTAATATAGGTAATCAGTTATTGGGCAGTAATGCTTGTACTATAATTGCTGTGTTGGTTTCTATTAATTTCCTTTCTGGAACTGCATGGTTCTCTCAGCACACTATTGTCTCAACTCTGGATTCTACTTTCCTTGGCTATTGTCACCAGCTCTTTATTGAAGGAAACCAACTGTACGAATCCCTTGAAGAAGAACAAGTGAACTATTGTGCACCTGAAATTATTCAACATCCACAACTTGGATTTAAGGATATCGCTGAACGAGGAGATGAGTATCATTTTGATAATTTTGCTGATTTCTTGTTGCAGCTACAACTATTATCATCATCAAAAGTTAAAATAGCTCTAGTACTTATATTTAATCCAGATAAAGCAATGACATTATTAATTAATGAACTAGGACAGAGTATGTTAGTAGAAAGACACTCACATTTAGATACCGGTGCTATTATAGCTACGACCAACTTCATAACATGATTAATTACCTTCAAGAAATTATTTTTCGAGGTTGGGGCCCTACAGTTCACCCACCATTTGATGTAACTATAGTTAAACTAAACCGATATCTTACTGTAAGACTTGTTTAATGTAATATACAACCCTTCTATATAGTAAAGCAATCATATAATAGAATAACAATCATGCATATACACTTATTTGCGTATAATAAATATATACCACATATTTATAGCTGAAATATAATTAAAGCATATACATTAATTTATAATATATATATAGGACCTGCAGTGCAGAACCATTTTGTAATATATAATTTATATAATATATTTTTATATAGCTTGCATGTAATAATAATATATATAATGATAATAATAATATATAATAACAGTATATAATAATTAAAAAACAGTATATACAATATTCATTAATAATAAAATATAACTTAATTAAACTGCAATGCAGCACCATTATAATAATATATAGTTATTTGCCTCTGTTATTGCATGAGGGGCTTTTAAAGAGAATATAATTGTCATATCCATGTAACATATACTGTATGCTAGGGGTACAACATTCACATACATACTAATGACACCATACATGCAATACTATACTATATAGTATACTACAATATAACCATGCAGGGAGCAGTGTGGCAGCATCTTCAAACAACTTAATCAGTAGCATCAAATGTGGTATGACAACTGCCTAAAATTGACAAATCACTTCTCAACATTTTAACCTGAGGGCCTTCGTCAGGAGAGTTAGTATGATACTATACTACAGTACTATTTCTACTATATAAACAATGAAATTATCGCACATGCAACCATGAACCATCTTATCAATTCTACATTTCCCTGTATATGTAGAACCTATGCTTATATATAGCTGCATGAATGAAAATCATTTTCTCTTCCTTCTATACTTTTTCTGCTTGAATGAATTAGCTAATTTAATCCAAATTACTGATTGATTAAAATGTATATTATTTAACTAAAAGGTTATCTCTAATTATTATTTAACTAAAAGGTATGTTCTTTCTTATTAAGATTCTTTCTCTTCATTGTTTCTTTTCAAATTCCCTCTTTGGGGTGGACCCCATAGGCATATATGTTTCTTTTCTTGTATACTAGTTAAGTAAAAATTAATATAATATAGTTCTCTAGTATAACCATATATAGGTGCTAACTTTCTTTTTTTCAGGAACTGGCTATGGATTTTTACTCCGGCGTCAGCGACGGAGTTGAAAATTCGCCTCGGTTTTGTTTTGTTTTTGTTTTTTTTTTTTAGTTTTTTTTTTTTTATTATTTTTCGTCGTCGCAAGTCTGTAATGGCGCGAAACATTCTAGTATTTAAAATGTGTATGTGATTGGATTTATCTATGTCCCAGTCTTGACTCCCAAGAGTTGTGGTGCACAGCTTTGGCTAATTTTCCGAAGCGCGATTCGATTTCGCTCGCATGATACGGCAATTCCTCCAAGAGGAACAAATAAACCGTTCTTTTCATGCTTTTCGATTAAGTTTAGACTGAATTGGGGTAAGAATATATTGGGGTAAGAATATATTTAATACGTGTAGATTCTGGTCCTATTTTAGTAATATCGCTGCTATTTCGCCGATTAACAAGATGATGTGGTCGTGTATGGGCGCGTTGACACGTCGTAGTTTGCACAGGATTGAATTAATATAACTATATAAGCGCGAATTCCAAAGGCAAAGTGTAAGACAAAGCGAATGTATCATATCGTTTATTTACATTCTTGAACGATTTAACTTCTATACTTTTTAAACTACGATGTGCTTCTGAATTTCGCGATGGAACATTTAGGTTCGCAAGGCATCTAAATGCGAATATGAACTGTATTGTTTATGTTCAGAAGCTCTATATTGAAAACTGGCACGTGCGCCAGAGTTAACACCAGAACAGGCGTCTTGTTAGTTATGAAACTGTTGACATCACCCCCCCCCCCTATGGAAATTACTGTACAATTAAGGCAACTATAGTTAGATGGTTATTCTTTTAGTGGGGGGACAGAAAAAGATGTGACAATTCTTTGTCATATGTGTCTACCCTACCATGCATAAAATCTCATATTATAGATATATAGAATAGGATTAGGATAGAATTTGGGTAGGCGAGAAACTAGTGGTTAACAATTTCATGCTAAAAATGCATAGTTATATTCAAATAAACAAATGTTAGAATGGTTGTATAAACATGTTGTACAACAACTCAGTCAAATTATTGGGTGTTTTAAGTTAGGTGGGAAAGTATAATTTTATTCAGCTGCAGTGTCTATATTTATTAGGTCAGGGGCAGGCAATTTAGCTGTTGGTGTGCACTTGTTTGTGCAAGAGTTCTCACAATTGTTTATTTCACATGTAATTAACAACCATTGTTGTAAAAATAGTGTTTAGATATTAATCCTGTATAGGCTAGCTAAAAATGATATGGCTATGCATTGCTTGCATGTTTTGCATAATACAACGCATTCAGAACTATTTTCATTTTTTTTATAAATAACAATGCGTAACGAAATTTCTGCGTAACTAAAATGTATACATCAGATATTAATGCAAACAATATAACTGTATCATTTACACTAGATGTAAAGTTTGACTGAGTTGGGTTCCGCCGATGGCCTACATAGGGTCCGGTACGAGGTTCCTCCAGTAAACTCCTTCAAACCTTACTTGTATTTAGTTAGGATTACAGTTTTAAAAATAAAAAAGAAAAATTTTCAATTGCTATAATTGTTGGAAATAAAAATGATGTTCTGCAAGTTTTAAAATGCCGCGCAGCAACAGAAAAATGCGTGCATACTGCAAAAATCCTTGTTGATGACATATCGGTTATCAACTTATCAAAACATTCCAAAGGTATTTCCTTTGAAGAAAACTTTCGTCAGCTATTCGAATCTTCAAACGGCCGTTAAAAAAATATAAAACAACCAAGTTCAATGCCTTAGAAAAAATGCCGTGCAAGGTCTGTAGCCAAAGTAAGAGCAGTTTTCAAAATTTTACAACTTTAAAAACAAGGTCAGGAAGGGTTTTTACGGAACACTGCCCCGTTTGTTTACAAGAGATGAAATTATAAAAAGTTATAACTCTGTAGTTTTTTATTGATTTTCATATGGTATAATAATATGCTTTGGTGGACAATAAATAAAAAACCGATTGCTTTTTTTGGGATAAATTGGAGGAAATAATTTGTATATTAGTGTAGGTCTGTTGACAAATTTTCATATTAAAAGCCGTTACAATGTGTCTCCAGCGAGCTGCCAAACATGGGCGCACAATTTCAATAAAGATTTACCCCAAAAAGTCACCTGCACTACTAAAAACGGTCTTGTAGATGAGGTGCAAGTTCGTCAAAAAGGGAACTGCAGTTTTAGAAGCAATAAGACATCATTTTTACTTATGTTAGGGGAAATCACGAAATCACGAAACTCTAACTTTTTGCAAATGTGTAGCTATATTAGTGAAATTAACCAAAACGCCAAACAAAAAATTTACAAAACATAATTTACAAATCAAGGCTGGTTACTTTAGATCGATAGGTTAATTTCCTATTGTATTAAATCTGTGGGATAACATACCTAAGTAGATTATGAGTAAGAATTCCTGAGTTGATTAAGCGAATACAACTTGTTGAACAGACAACTGATAGGAGCACGGGAGTTTTTTTGGCTTGCGCTTCACAGAAAATCACACCTCTTATACGGCTTGCCCTATTTCATGTCAACCAAATTCCTATAACTCGACTATGGTGCCATTTGATAACCTGTATTCCACCATTACAAAATACCGAGTTAGACCTCATAGTCTTTATCCATAAGAAATATAAGTGGAAATAAAACAAGTCCTTCGTGCCGGTGTTCTCGTCCCGTTGCACGGGTATTTTCGAGACGATTTCTTTCAACGCGATCAAAACATCAACAAAAACCCCAAATCCTTCGATACTTTGAGGTACGAAAGACAGACTACTTTTCTTTTTGTATAAATAAATTTCAAACCAAAACATTGTCCGATTTTTCTACAATCCGGATATGAAAATACTATGTTTTGTGTTTTTTACTTCCTTTCACGCTTTGCCCGCGCTTGGAACAGAAGCCTGAAACTAATCTAAAAATCAACCAATCAGACAAATGTTGCCTTTGTTTTTTGTGATATGGCTGTAGAGCTGATGCGCTGGCATAAATTAGCATCTAGGGATGCTTGGGTGATCACCTCTGTCACATATATCCGACGTTCTAAAATTTAGAACTCTCGCTATATGTGATTTAGAACATGAGGAACAGCTGTTCGAAATCGCATATAGTGTAGTACGTTAAATGCGCATTAAAATACGAGCAAAGTAAACACCAAAAAACAGCTTCACATTTAATGAAACTGGCATCAATAAAAAGTTTGGATAACACAAATATCGAATATTTAATTTTTATCCTGGCCCAAATTCGTCCTCGAATGTTACAGCTCCTAAGACGCAAACGTCTGTCAGCCTGACATTCGAAATCGCATATAGTGATGTACGTTAAATGTGCTTTGAAATACGCGCAAAGTAAACACCACAAGACGGCTTCACATTTAATGAAACTAGTATCGATAGAAAGCTTAAATAACACAGATTTCGAACATGTAAATTTTATTTGGGCCCAAATTCGTCTTCGAATGTTACAGTTTCTAAAACGCAAACGTCTGTTCCCCTGAGATTCGAAATCGCGTATAGTGATGTACGTTAAATGCGCATTGAAATAGGAGTGAAGTAAACACCACAAAACATCTTCACATTTAATAAAACTGGTATCAATAAAAGTTTGGATAACACAGATTTGGAATATGTAATTTTTATCCTGGCCCAAATTCTTCCTCGATTGTTACAGCTCCTAAAACGCAAACGTCTGTCAGCCTGACATTTGAAACCGCATATAGTGATGTAGGTTAAATGCGCATTGAAATACGCGCAAAGTAAACACCACAAAACAGCTTCACATTTAATGAAATTAGTATGGATAGAAAGCTTAGATAACACACATTCCGAACATGTAAT